TAGAGGGGGAGGATCACCTCCTTGGCTCTACTCGAGATGCACCTGTGGATGCATGACAAGGTCCGGTTAGCCCTGCCAACGATGACCTCGCATTGTCGGCCCATGTTCATCTTGGAGTCAATAATGACTCCAAGATCCCTTTCTGCCTCCGTGCTCTCGAGTAAGGAGTTCCCCATTGTGTAAGTGTGCTGCTGGTTCCTACTGCCCAAATGCAGCACCCTGGTTGTGCCTTGCTGAAGAGATGAAGTTGTTTGGAGAATAACTACAGACCACAGTTTCCAGCAGTCTCATCTCTGCAATTCTTATTCTTTTACTATTTGTATGTAATGTAATGGCAAAATTTCCCTTTCTAAAAGGGTCAGAATGAATCCACCAGAAGGTTAGTTCACACAACCATAGAAGTAAGAACTACAAGGATCTGGTCTGACTTTGGAACCGACCTCAGCACATTTAGAAATCTTTATTCACTCAGCTATAGATAGTTCCATGTGACAGAAAGTCTACCATGTTCTATCTTGTTTGTAGTGAGCCATAAAGCAGTTTAATCCATTTCACTGTTGAAATGTTTCTTCATAAAGTGCTGAGTATCACAGCCAGTCTAAAAAGCATTTCTTCTGCTGGGACCTGAAAGTCAGGCCAACCATATGGTTGAGGCAGAACAGTTTGTTCTACTGTTTGAAAGTTGCATTTCCTTCGCTTTTTAAGCATCTGATGCTTCCCCTTCTTTCTTCTTCTGCTCTTTCTCTCCTGTAGAGCCCAGTCCCAGAAGAACTCAAAATGGGAGAGAAGTTTATCCGTTTTTCAGTGAATTTTTCTCCCAAACTCCAAGAGGTTATCAATGAAACGAAATACATGGAACAGCTGGGATTCCCAGTGCCTGAAATAGCAAGGAATGTTGCTCTGCAGGAAGATAAATTTCTTAAGTAAGGAACCTGCTTGCATTCAAGTTAAAGTCTGTACAACTATTGATTTCACTTGGAGCAGGACTGGTCCCTGGTGTCCTCAGACATTTGAAATATGAGACCATTCACTCAGTAGTGTATTTTCTTGAACAAATTGTTAATACCCAGTTGGCACAGGTAATCGTTCCTCTGGCACTGTCTGCATTCTCTTGGTACAGAGCTACATCAGGGAAGCAAAACAATACATCAAAACCCCCAAGGAAGCCAAAGAAATGGTACATTTTATTGCTATAAATTGTAACATTTCTCAGGCATCATATCCATTTAGAAGATCTTGGCTCAGTGCCTGACTCCACCCCAGCTCTCTGTGTGACCTTGAGCAAACTGCACGGGGCCAGATTTTCAAACAAATTTAGGCAAATAAAGATGCAAAAAGTGGGATTTTCTAGACTGCCTTACTCATAGTTCTCAGGCACGTGCTTTAAGTTAAGTTTATCTTAAATTCTTTTTTTGGGTTTCAGTCAGAGGGTCGAAACCATGTTCTACTGAAGTCAGTGGGAATCTGTCTTGATTTTAGTAGGAATTGGATTAGGGCAGTGTTCAAAGCCTGTTAAAATATCAGTCCATCTTACGTGTTGCTGAGGAGTAAAGAAATAATGAATGAATGGTAATACATTCAGAGTCTTTGTTCAGACCACTGAATAGTTGACTTTGAGCAGACTTCATGTCTTCAAGCCTCAAGCTAATTGGTTGACAATCAGGTTTTCAGTCTAGGCTGAAATCTTCAATACCAGAGGTTACATTTTGCTTGTAATTCTCTATAGACACACCAATGGAATGAAGACTATGCTGGATCACTACCACATATTAATGGGAACATTGAATGAAGCAGAAACCCAGCTTCTTGGTGATCACATTCAAGAGCTCTGGAGAGTATTTAGATCAGGATACAAGAGACTCAACTGGAATTCATTAGGTAACTTACTTGGTATTTTAAAATGAGCTCAAAATGGAACATTTTCCACACTATATACTTCTGTTACCATGTCTGATGTCAGCACTTTGTTTCTATCTAAAGCAGAGTGGAAAGGAATACAGTTGGATATCAGGGTTGTAATTAATTGAGTTGTGTTAGCCCCAGTTGAGGATATAGGTTTTTATGGTGTGAATATATGGGTCGGTCCACTGGCCTGGCCCAGTGCCTAGTGAAAGCTGTGAAAGTCGTCAGTGAATATAAAATTTGAACTCCAGCGCATGACCAAAAGGAAGTAACCTTGTTGGTCTCAGAAGGAAGGGGTACAGCATTACCAACATCATTGTTTTAGACAACATTAGTAATATGGGGGTGAATGGTTTGATAAAGAGAAAGTAAGCAATGCGCTTTTTTTTCAAGGTATTGGTGACTATGTTATTCGGTGCACACAAGCCATTGGGAAGTTTGAATCGTTGGTACATCAGGTTCATAAGAATGCTGATGACATAAATAACAAGCTTTTATTAATTGAATCTACAAATCTATTTAAATCACCACTCCAGAAAAATGCTGATGAACTTCCTGGTAGGTTGTACATTTTATATTTTCTTTTCTAGGCTCTGTGTTGTATCTTATTGAAGTGATACTTTTTTCTCATTGCTAAGGAAACATGGTATTTAATAGTTCCCAAGGTTAAGTAGGCCACCATCCCACAGTATAATGAAGAGAGGATAAGGTTAATTTCAGTACCCTCAGCTGGTTGTGTTGGTGAGGCAGACATGGAGATCTGCTTAGAATAGATTCCATATCTTCTAAGCTTCTGGTCACCCACATCCTTGTCTTTGATTTCCTCCTGAGTTCCCCCATGTTCATCTCTATGGGAGGGTTCCATGGAGCTGCATTCCCCCATATATATTGTCAGCTGCCATCTTGTGCAGCTAAGCTGATCATCTTTTGCCATCATGAAGAGTGTGGCTAGAGTTGCTTCCTAGCCCATATGGAAAATTCTCTATCACGAGTGTAACTGGTGGAGGTCAACCATTCCATTATGCCTCTTGATTTGTTATCTTGGTCAAATTTTAAGTATCTGACTCTACAAGTCCTGAATAATAATGGAGAATATTCTTGAATAATGTGGAAGATCAAGGTGCCATATTTAATCACAAACACATGCTCTGAAATAAGACATGCACCTTGTTTTGGGAAGGCAGAAAAGAAAGATTTTTCTTTTAACCCAATTTCTCCAAATCAGTCTCTCCATGTAAGACACGCACTCCAATTTTTGATCACTAATTTTTGGAGAAAAGTGAATAAATTGTCAATCGTCATGGTGCCGTGTGACCAGTGGAGTCCCCCAGGGCTCTGTCCTTAGACCCGTATTGGACGGAGGCGCTCAACCATATGAATGGCCCTCCTCTGGACCCTCTCCAGGTTCTCCACATCCTTGAAGTGCGGCGCCCAGAACTGGGCACAGTACTCCAGCTGCAGCCTGACCAGCGCCGCATAGAGGGGAAGCAAGACGTCTCTGGACCTGTTAGTGATGGGAAGAAAAACCTGCAGCATCCTTATAGGCTCGGCAGTGCTACACACTGGCTAGCACTACAGAAGAAAGAGACTTGGGGGTTTTCATTGACCACAAGATGAACACGAGCTTGCAACGCGACGCTGCGGCTACTAAAGCAACCAAAATGCTGGCTTGCATCCATAGATGCTTCTCAAGCACATCCCAGGACGTCATTCTCCCCTTGTACTCAGCCTTGGTGAGGCCGCAGCTGGAGTACTGCGTCCAGTTTTGGGCTCCACAATTCAA